TCGCCCCCTGGTGGACACTAGAGAGAATGCAGCTTTAACACATGAAACTTTTCCGATCCTGGATCTTCAGCGCTTTCAGATGCTGTGGCTCATGTTTTCCGGATGATTCTTTTATTACTGTGTTGTTAATGAAGTTTAAAGGAAACCAGCCCGTTCTGGAGGGACCGGCTGAGACGCTTCGGGCCGACAGATGGGTGAATGCTGGGAAATGAAGAGTCTGTGTGGGAGGAGGAGGAGGGGGGGGTCTTTAGAGGGTCAGACAGGGCGAGTTCAAGAGAGCTTACCACCACACATATTCGGACTGTGGGGTGGTGTTGTTGGAGGAGGAGGAAGAGGAGGAGGGGTGTTAATAGCAGCCCTCCAGTCATAAAAAAGTGGGCGTGTCTGTTTTCCGAATGAATGAGCCGGCTGATTATCTTTGTGACGGGTCTCGGAGGAGGAGAGCAGGGTGACACTGGAGCTCAGTCAGGAGGATTTCCACTTCTTAGAAAAGGCTGTTTTTGTTTGTTTTCATTTAACTGAATGGGAGTTTGGAGAAGTTTTGTTTAACGTCTCATCTTCGTCACTCACCTGGATTCAAGGATGATGCTCAAGAAAGTGAGATTCAAGGTAAGAAAATGATCCCAGTAGAGTTTATTTATGTTTTATTCAGTCATCGTATCTACTCTAGTGTCCTGTTTACAGTACTAATACCACTATAATACTTCTTATTCTACCATACTGAATAAGTTCTTCCTCACGTACTCTAGTTACAGAACTAATAAGTGAAATTTACTGGAAAAATCTAGTAGTTGGTTGCGTCTTCCTGGTTAAATAAGCTCTGGCTCACAGGAAGTGATGTGTGTTCCTTTAGAGAAATAAACTAAACAGAGAAAGAAAAGAGCTAAATCACTGATATGTGATCCTAATAAATCAATAGAATCCTCATGAGATGAATTAAACTGACAGATGTTGAATAAGTCTTCGGTCCACATGCATCAGGTCCCGTTTCTTCAAAGTGCAGCAGCAACATGTTGCTTCTGTCTGCAGTTCAAAGGGAAGAGCTGCTCGCTGTGTTTGGTGACACCGCGGTGATAATTAGAGGTTCACAGGAACAGACACTGAAGATTTACTGCTGTCAGACGCTAATAGCATGTAGCCTGTTATTAGTTATTATGTCCACATCTGTGTGTCTTTGTCATGACCTTTTAGGTTTTTCATGAATCCACTATTGTGCTTTAAGGACGTTAAAAACAACAGTTAATAAGATTAAATAGCCCTTAACTTTAGTTGCTTTAAGCTTGAGAAATATTCCACAGTGACAACAATATTGTTTCTGAGGATCTGTTTCTGTTTGGTCTATAAAATGGTATAACATGTTGAAAAGTGTTTCCCAAAACCTCGAGATGACGTCCTCAAATGTCTTGTTTTGTCCACAACTCAGATAATCAGTTCAGTTTTTTTCTCAAACCGATTAATCAAGTTGCCGATTGACGATAATGGATTAATTGTTTCTGTCGTGTGTCATCTTATTCAGTGACTTTGGTTTGTTTACAAAGTAGAGACCAGCTACTTAAAGGGGAACTACGGCAACATGAACTCTCCAAATCTAAAAAGTGATTTGCTAAAAGTCACATTTTGTGTCCTTATCAAGTGTTAAGGAAGACGATGAATTAAATTAAATTATTGGTCAGTGGCTCTCAAACTTTGTTTTAATAATGTACTCCTTTGAAATAGTTTTCCAGCCAAGCTCCTCCCTATTTGTTTTGTAGAAAATAAAATGTGTTTGTTGTGGCAGTTTAGAACAGTTAACGATTGCATTAAAAATAAGAATATTGAATATCGAAGTTCTGATTCTGATTCTTAAATTTAGATTTTTTTTAACTTATTGTAGTTTACTATAATTATATTCGAAAATATGCATGACTAATATTTTATTAAACTAACATAAATAAAAACCTCAAATATCCCCTGCAGTACTCCAAAGTACCACTACTACTACTACTACTACTTGAGGGTACTAGTACTAGTACCCTCAATCTCTAGTTTCAAGTCTTCTTCAATACAGCATGATGTTCATTTAGTACATTATGGTCCATTTAGAGTCAAACAGACCATAAAGCAGGGGATGCTTTAGGGCGGGGCTACACGGTGATTGACAGATTGACCAGAGATGTATACGGCGTCTCTATGTCACTCCTCAGTCCAGATATGGTCACTTCCTGTTCACTGGTTGCAAAAAAACAAGATGGCGACGGACAAAATGCTGAACTCGCTGCTTCAAAACATCAGTCCAGTGACGTCACGACAACTACGTCCACTTCTTCTGTACAGTCGGCTGTTTTTATGTTTATAGAAAACTTAAAATCCGTTTCCATTCGTTGTCTGAGGAGCAACTCAACACGTTATACTTGACAACATCACTAGTTTGAGACTTCCTTCTCTGGTTTCTGGCTTTGAGTCGCTCATGTTCACGAATAGTTATTAACTCTCCTCCACCATGGAAAGGACTTCCTGTGGCAACAGTTACTATGGCGTCATGTGGCTTTATATTCTGATTGGAGGGTCATCCACAGTTGTTTCATGTCATTTAACACTCTCACCTGTTGGTGCAGCTGT